GCCTTCTCTCCTTAGCTCCAGCTCCAGGGTGGCCACCACTGTGTCCCACTGTTCTGTCAGGTGACCACTGAGTGAAAAGTTACTGGGGAATAGGATATTCCCATGATCTCAAGGGATAAGCCCCCCAGAAATGATTTATTCACTGCAAAGGGGAAAGCGTACCTTTACAAGGGAGAGATCCAGAGACCTTCACCCTTCCACCAGGTAATGACCTTACTGTTACTGATAGCAGGGCAGCCTGAGGTCACCTGCAGCCTGGTATGCTGTACTAGGAAGCACACAGCACTGCCTACAGAGTGTTCCTGCTGTAAGAAAGGTTACCTGAATCTAAAACCTTTCCCAGACTGAACTCAGGGAACACAGGGGTCTGTGAAACAGCTCACACACCACCACAAGGAAATACCCAGACAAGTCCAGAACACAAGACGCGGCACCTGACAACGGACCAGTGCGCTTCAGAACAGCAATGTCATTAAAAAAAAAAAAAAGGAAAAAGTGTGTGTGAGTGAACGTAGGGGGAGGTTGTTCTACAGTAAAAATGACTTCAAAACACAACTAACACGACATGTGGCCCTTGACCGCTCACGGTTTTTAAAGACCCCAGCTCTGAGAGACATGGGGCATGTGGGCAAGTGTGACTGTGGGCTAGCTGTCAGGTGACCTCGTGGAGGTATACATGTTCTTAGGCAGGATCACAAGGCTGTGATTATGCAGAAGACTATACCCCTTCTCAGGAGACTTGACTGGAAGGTCTTAAGGGTGAAGTGGGATCCTGGCTACAAAGTATCTTCAAATGGTTTGGCAAAAAAAAAAAAAAAAAAAAAAGGTATAAAGAGATAAATGTGGCAAAACATGAGCAATTCCTGAATCTAGGTGGAGGGCTGATATTGTATTATCACTGTATTCTTTCTCTTCTTTCCTGGATGCTTGACATTTTGTGAGGGAAAGACTGGGATAGGGTAGGGAGAGGGGACCCCAGGAAGGGTGGTCCCCGCAGGTCTGTGTGTACTGAAGACACAGGGAGGCCGGTTCACCGTGTGAGAAGAAGAGCGACTCTCGTGTGAGACTGAGATTTCAAAGCTGGGCAGACTGGTATGTGATATACCTCTAGGTCTCAGGAAAACTCTCATTTCTCAGTTTTTGTGAAACACCGACATGCTCTCCCAGCCGGCTAATCCCCACATCTGTAACACGAAAACAGGCAGGTAGGTCTATCCAAGCTCTCAAACAGCTTGTGTTAAAAACCGATTCTGTCTATACTGCAGCCCAGAACTCTGTGCAGGGTGAAGGAGGCTGGTGTTTGCTGTGCACCACATGTCCTGAGAGTCAACACTCCCAAATGCCAACACACACACTGCCTGACACCGACCTTTGGCTGACAGGTGGGCCACCGCCCTGCAGCGGAACAGGGTGCTGAGCTCTGGGTGTGCTGTGACTCCGGCCTGAGCGACTTCATCATGTCACAGACTAGAGATAAAGCCACCAAAACCAGATGGACTGTTCAGCAGGCGGGTCATGACAAGGTCCCTCATTAAAAGCGTTTCTTTCTCCTCAGACACCAATGCTTTGCGCTGACGTCCCAGAGAACCTGGAGGACCCAGACTGGGAAGTCCCTTTGTAACAAGCTTGCCTCCAAGTGGGTTCAGCTTTCCTCACAGGTGGAGCCTCTAGGAAGCTCACCGCTTAGGGAGGTGAGACACGCTGCCACGTCTTAGCTGATACTACGACACGCCCGCGGACGCAGGCTGGGGGGGTCTGTGTGTTCACGCAGCTTGAAGAAAGGCTGCATACGTCACCTGGCGTTCTTAACTCTCGGCCGTCTCGGCTGAGACCAACTGAAAACCCCCACACAGAGCAAGCACCAGCATGAGAAATCCTCATGAGAATCAAAATGCTCGCTCTCTCTCTCTCACACACACACAAGTATACATATGTGAAGTCTTCCTCCAGGACAAAACCCTCTAGGGAAAAAACACAACCACCTGTAAATGGAGAAAGAAGTGATTTTTCTGCGCAGAAAAAAAAAAACCATAAAGACACCAGTCTGAGGATTCACTGAATTCAGGGATGTGAAGTGATGAAAAATGCCTCAGCCTGTCTGGCAGGGAAAGGGGTGCAGCCAATGGAACAGAACTGGTCTGACAGGAAAATGGAACGGTACCTGCCCGCAGGACAGGGGAACTGTCAGAGGAGAGAGCCAACGAGCCCATGGCTGAGGTGGGGGAGGGGGGCACGAACACACCCAGGAGGGAACAGACTGTGACCCCAAAGAGGTTAACTTAAATTGCTCAGGAGAGATGACTGCTATTTAAAATACGGTCGATGGGGGCACCTGGGTGGCTCAGTTGGCTGAACATCTGCCTTTGGCTCAGGTTGTGGTTCCAGGGTCCTGGGATCGAGTCCGGCATCTGGCTCCCTGCTCAGCAGGGAGCCAGCTTCTCTCTCTCCCTCTGCCCGCCGCTCTGCTTACTTGTGCTCACTCGCTCTCTCTCTCACTGTCAAATAAATAAATGGAATCTTAAAAAAAAAAAAAACAACAACAACATATGCTCAGCGAAGAAAACAGTGGAACTGATGAAGGATGGGGTGGTCTCATCTTAACACACCAAGACGTCCCTCAAGAGTAGCAAGCGGGACACCTGTCACGGGAGCCTGGCCTCTTGCCAGCAGCTGTGCCTGACTGGGGAACCGACGCTGTGTCTGGGAAGACAAAGCCGGGGCAAACCAAACTGCTCACACGTGCACTTCCTAGAAAGTACCTCCCCCCTTCCCTTGTCCCCAGCAAAGTCACTGCAAATGTGATGCAGCCCCTGAGAGATTCCTTCCTCACCCCTGCAGTGCCAAAGGGGAAAGCCCCACCATTCTCAGAACAGAACCGACAAGTTGAAGAGATCAGCAAGGGCAGACAGGGTTCTCACCCTTCCACCCCTTCTCCCTGTCACTGGCCTCATCACTGTCCCAGGAACCGACGCCCTCTGCCACAGGCACCCTCCACGTCTAGGCTTACACTGAGCAAAAGGCCGCTCAGTAGTCTGGTCTCTGCATACAGAAAGCACCCACCGCAGTGGGGTTTGCACACGTGCTCACGCTGAAGATTAAGCAAAGTGAGTTATGTCCCTGAAGACTCCAGGGCCAGCGCCATCACTCTGAACATGGGCAACCTGGGACACTTCTCAGCAGCGAGCAACTCTGCTTCGTCATAACCACATTTCCCTCCCTGAACCATGAGTTCAAAGCCTCAGGAGTAAATGGGGCCATGAGCAGCAATCAAATCCATTGACATAACCAGAGCCAGGCTAGGAAATCAGAAGTTAGGGAACAGAATGCAAAGTAAGCCTGTAGTTCCTTCAGAGAGAAAGGAAGGCCAGCTGGGGGGGGGGGGGCGGAGGGGGGGGGGGGGGGGAGGGGAGACCCACACACAGTGTCTTGGAAACACACATACGGTTTATGCCCCCAAGTCAGCAGCTGATTTTGGCTAAGTCGTCACAAATTATTACTGTGGGAACAAGTGGGTATTTGTTCAGCTGCGAAAATAGCAAAGCAAGTAGAGACTAAAAAGGAAAGAAAGAGCGGCAAACATGAACAGTCGGGCACTTGGGGTAAGGTTTACCAAGGCCAGGCAACCAGAAGAAGTGTCCTCCAAGAACAGCCTCTTCGGGGTTACCTGCATGAAGCCTGGGAGAATTCGCTCAAGCAAGCTCCGTGTTAGGACAAGCAAAGCTGTAACTCCAGCAACTCCACCCTAGAAGACAAACGCACACAGCTGCAGGATCTGTCCCCAGTGCCAAGAAGCATACTTTCTGCAGAAACTTCCACTCTGCCCATGTGAGCACAGTGGGGAAGTTCTGAGATCCCGTCATTCTGGAATTAATGCCTCTGTACAGATCGTTGTAACCCTTCCTTCCTCCAGGATGCAATCACAGGGGCGCTCCTAGGCCCACAGCCAACTGAAGCCTCCTATTACTGTAATCAAGGGAAGGATGTGCACCAAGAAAACAACACAACCCCAAAATGCACGGCGCACCTGACAACTATGGTGGAACTTCCAGTTTTCAAGAGGGGCCATCTGGGGCTTTCTTTTCCATCAGGAAACTCTCAAGAAAGGGCCCCCAGGGACTTAGCACAGGGATTCTGTGACCTCCCAGACCCTCTGAGCAGCATCCTTCACTAAGCCACTAGGTTGCCCGAGCCTCGTGGAAAGGAAGGAAACTTTAAATACGAGTAATAGAGTGGGTTGGGCAGGGGAATAGCCAGGGGAGGCTTGAGATGCAACTTAATTAGGAAAGCTTGGGCCAGAGATGGAACAGGTGGACCTGTTCAAAAGTAAAGAGGGGAAAGAGGAGCAGTGGGGAAGAAGGCAGTCTGGGCGGGTCCTGCTCCAACCAAAACAGAAAATAAAGCTGGGGGAAAGGTGGGGGAAGCGAGGCAGGAGGAAGTAGTACTGGGAAGGCAATGCATGGCCTTACAATCCAGGTATTGCAAAGGAGCGAGATTTAAAAGCCAAGGGGAGTCAGCAAATCTTTGCGGAGTGAAGGAGCAGGAAAAAGCCCAGCATTAGACTGGGGATTTAAGGATGCGGGTTCAAAGGGCGAAGGAGAGACTAGGAAGGCTCTGTGAGGGGGCACAAAGGATTATACCAGCTGGGGGTTCATGACGCCCGGCTGGAAAGTGGAGTAGCCTTAATTCGCGATAACAAGGTAGCGGGAGGGCGAGTTTTAGGCAGTTACATCGGAAGAGAGGCGTGTGCCGGCTGTAGGAGAGAACGAGTGACCCCTGACTAAGGGCTGTCTCGAGAAGGCGAGGGACTCAGGACCCTAGATCGGGGGAGGGAGCTCCCGCTAGTCCGGGAATGCCCAGCCTGCGCTCGCGGACAGAAGGCACCCGAGCCAAAGGGCCCGGGGCCCCAGGCCTTAACTCTTCTGGCAGGAGGGTCTCCAAGGCGGGGCTGGGCCTGCGGTGGTCCCACAGGGCCTCAGGAGTGGCAGGGGTCCCGGACTCACGCATCAATGTGCTGAAGGCCACGACGCCGAGCAGCCCCTGCAGGAAGATGCCGAAACTGTGCATGAGCGCGCCGCTCTCGCAGCGGCCCGCCCCGGACGCGACGGTGGAGGGCGGCCCGCCCGGGAGCCCGCGGCTCGCGTTCCCGGCGGGGCCCTGCATGGCGGGCCTGGCGGAGGGGCGCGGGGCGCCGCGGCCAGCCCGCCCGCCCGCCCGGCCTCGCTGCCTGCGGGGGCCGCGCCGCCGAGCTCCGGGCCGGGAGTCCAAGCCGGGAGCCGGTACCTCCGCCCCGCGGCCCACTCGCCGCCGCGCGTAACCCGACGTCTGAGACCGCAGCGCCTGATTGGCTCGGCCGGGCGTGGGGGCCGGCCTCGGCCTCTCCGGCTCTCCCCTCCCCACCATGGGCGGGGCTCCGGCCGGGCGTGGGGGCGGGGCCCTGCGTCCAGGCCGCAGGTAGAGAGGGGCAGGTGAGCGCCGCTGCTCGAATGCTCGTGAGCCCGAGGCACCCCCTTCTCCTCCTCCACCCTCCCCTCACCGAGCTCCACTTAGGAAAGGCAGGAGCCCGGGACCATCTGCGACTAAATTCTTTTCCTTTCCAAGATGAAGCCCTCACACCCTGCAGAATTTATTAAAAATACTCCTGGATTCCACCCTCAGATTCCGATTCAGTAGTTCGGAGACAGAGCGGAATCATCTGCATTTTCAGTCAGCAGCCTGGATTATCCTGAAGGAGGCGGTGAGGAAAATAAACCGAGACTCTGCACACAGGCATATTCCTTCCCATCCAGACGTTTGGCGTCCTTCTACTTTCCTTGTTAGTACGAATATTGTGGCCAAAAGCTTATCTTCGTCAATCAGGCCCGAGTTGACTTTTTTTCTTCCCTAAACGTTATGTAAATGGTCATTTTAATCCAATCGCTGTCGTTTAGAAATATACAAGGTTTATACTGAAAACATGTCAATATATCCCCGTCTTGTTAATTTTGAACATGCTTCATAAAGCCAAATTGTTGGTAATCGGCAGAATCTCTAAGGACCCCCTCCCTCCACACATACCTGTTTACTCCCACCCTTGACCCTTTGGAACCAGCTCTCCCCCTCTACCGGGGCCTCTAGTCCCTATTGTCTCATGGAACTTCCCAAACCCCTCTGGCTTTTCTCCAGTCACCTCTTGCTGGTGCTCTCCAGTCCCTAGCCTTCCTGCTGCATCCACTTAATGACTGTATACACATGGTATTCACTCCAGTAGACACTGGGCTACATTTGTAGGACAAGAAAAACTGTATTTAGGGAAATTTTCCCTAAAAGATAGCCACCACGGAATTCCAATGGGCTAAACGCTTACAAAAGCTTTCTGGGTTAACAGGAATTAACCGGATTATCCAGAGAACAAAAATGCTATTGGCTCCTTAGAGCCAATTCTCTAGCCCTTCTCTTAGGATGCACTTCACAGCTCCTGTGTCTTTAATGGCATTCCAGCTGCATGTACCACTATTCCCTTTCCCTGCGAATGAACTGCTACTCATGCTTGAGGCCAGTCTAACCTCCCTCTCCCCATCTGGCTTCCACTTGACCTGGTGTCTACTGCTCCGTTAGAACTTCTCCAATTGCTCCAATAGACGGCGGTACACGTCTCTCTCACACACCTGAGTGTGAGTACTGGTTTTTATTCACCCTTGAATCCAACATAGTGCCTGGCACAGAGAACATGGCAACACTTTTTAAATTAAACTGAATTTTAATTTATAAAATTTAAAACTCTCCACAAGTATTGACCATGGGAAAATACAGAAAATCAGGTTAAGAAAATAAATAGGCCAGGGAAAATTGTGTTACCGTCTTTAAGTCTAAGAAGGTCTCTTATGGGGATACTCAACAGTTACAGTCCATGTTCAGAGGGAACCAAATGAGAGGACGAGTACTTAATGCAGGAGAGACTGTGGGCTGGTATAAGAAGACTGTTAATTGATTGAAGATACAGGCAGCTTAAGGAAAGTTGCACACAGAGCTGAAGAATGAAGTTTTTGACAGAGCACTGCTCTGCACACCCAGATGTGGAGGGATCCTTAAGGCCCATTGCTGCTGTACCAAGGCAAATGTAGACAAAGGAGAAGCATTCTTCCAAGATCAGGGGCAGATTCTCAAAGCCAGGAGCAAAGGTGCTATGGGGAAATTCTGCTCCTCCTACCTTTCCTGAACTACAGTTAAAAAGTGCCCAAATCTAGAGGATAAAGATCGGACAGCAGGAGAGGGGGGAGAATTCTGGAAATGTACATTTTACTGAAGTAGAAAGAACTTTCTTCTCCTTTCAGAGATGATTCTGAGGCCCCACTGGAACGAGTTTTGAAGGATTTACTCTGGCCAAGATGTCTTCTTTGCTGTCAAATGAAGTTAAACATAGCTTAAGACGTGTTTTAATTCTTACAACCACTTAAAACTGTTATAATATACCACAAGTTCTTATACACTCTTATTTACAAAGAAAAAAAAAACCCACGCAGAATATTCATCCAAAATAGTTATTTTTTAATCCCTTGAAGTTATACCCATCAAAATGGATGGGAGTTATTTTATAGGTATTCTTGTGCATATTTCTCCTTAATTATACTCTACCCTCAAAGCATAACTTTTAAAATTAAGAGAAAAACAGCAAGCAGGAAGGATACAATGTAATATGCATTTCATTTTGTTCCAAACAAGCAGCTTAAAAAAAAAAAAAAAAAAAAAAGGCTAGCATAAACAAAGTGCATCAGTTCCAACAAGTTAGTATCAGAAACAGGCCCAAGGACAGTGCTGGAACCAGCCAGAAGTCCCACCCTAGCAGGCCTCTGATTGTCTTTAGAGAATATTTAACCAAAAAAAAAAAAAAAAAAAGGGAAAATAAATGAAAGCGTAAAAATCTCAAAAGAAGCATTCAAACTGCACTTCCCTAGAGCCTTCTTACAAAAGGAGATAAGGAACTGTCCAGTTTTAGCTTTGTCTAAACTTTGTACAGGACCTTCAATCATCTGCTTTGTGATTTGATTTGCCCCCAAAGCCTACCTTCATCCTTCCAGCACTATTTGCCCACCTCCATTCTGCCAAGCTAGGCATGCAGTTAGGTAGACTAAACCGTGTAGAAACCCCTCAGGAACAAGTTTCCACACATCCTGAGACTAGTCACCCCCACTGGCAATGGCGGCATCATCTCACTAGGCGATATCATCCTTTGTCCCCAAATAGCTCAGGGTCCACACTTGACTGCTGGTGTTGAGGACTTGTCCACCAAAGCTGTAGATTCTCTTTTACAACCGTGCCTTGTGAGAGGCCATAGCACCAGGACAAACCCAAATGGTGTGGTAAGTCAGAGAAGACATAAGGGGAGGGAGTTTTAGGCCTATTTCTCCATTACCCCCTGCTGGTTTTGTGGGTTCTTGTGAAAAATCTAAGCGTTCTGAAAACACCAGAAGCAAGAAAATCTCCAGGGCATTTACCGCCCACTACCTTCATATCTTCACTCTGCAGGCTACCCTCAGAAGCAAGGCTACCTCCGTGGTCTGGGACAAGTACGGGGAAACCCCAAGTAAGAAGGCTTAGAACCAGATCTGTGGCCTGGGCTTTGAGTTTAGAACTCTTCTGCAAAAACTCCAAGTCCATAGGTGGCTTACTTAGATAGATTTAAATTTTCAAAGTACGTACTTCACACACAAGGGGTGAGGGTCATCAAAATTCACTAATAGAACATGGTAAAGTAAATCAAGTCATGGAAGAATTACAATTGCATGAAAGGGACTGACTTCTTTTTGGATTTGCAGGAGACTTTGTTCTACAGGGTTTCTGAGAAAGCATCATGACCATGACATGCGCTTATTTACAGTGGACCCAGGACCAAAGACATTCAAATTTTAAAAAGGGGGGTCCCTGGTTCCCACCAAGATTTATACTTCACTTGTTAGTGATGTCTTTTCCTTCATCTTCCTAAGGCCAAATGATAACATAGAACTCTTTTAAACTTACACACACACACACACACACCCCAACCCTAGTATACAGGACCAGTATTCAAACCTAGTACATGTTTCCACTGTTGAGACTCAGCTCCTAACATCTCTTTCAGAGCTTCTGTGAGCATCAATCAAACCAGTGAACGGGGTCTTCAATACAAGTCTTTGGTGATAGGCACCAAGTAAATATAAGTATCTGTGAGTTTTCCCAAAGTTCCCATCTAGATAATTCTTAACAACTGTTAACAATTTCCTGATGTTCTGTGTGTCCCCCAGAAATACTTTTTGGCTTGGGAGAGGTGAACGATTCTGAGTTCTGCCCTAGCTAAGTCCTCCTAAAGCTTTTAATCTGTATTTAGGTACCACATTAGTAACAGGATTATTAAAAGAGAGTGAGTAAAATATATTCAAGTCCTCAGGAAACTTTGGTCCAAGGCCCCCTCTCTTGCATGAGAATAACTTTACTTCCAGGAGAAGAGGCATAGAAAGGCCAAGCTCTGAGCTGGTTTTCCATGTCTGACTCTATCGTAATTCAAGAAATATTTACCAAGAAGCCCATCTCTTCCAGGAGTTGCTAAGTATCTTTCCCTGACCTCATGTATCCACAACATAGATGCTGGGAGCCACTTACATCACCAAAGAAAGGCAGACACAGGTAAAGCCCCAGTAATATATCCCCTGCATTAGACACCTTAACTCTCCTTCAACTGAGAAGGATGAGGGCAGTTTACAAAGGAAAATAGCATAGTTCCCAGAAGCCCACAAAATACAGTCAAAATGTCACAGCAAATCTTCATGTACAATAAAAGGTTTCCCTAACACACACATAGGCTAATAGCGGCCGGTCAACTTCAAGGTCCAGGAGGCTTACACAGTCCATTCACCTGTCTCCAAGTTTGTCAATACAGGATAAAAAAATGGATCATGGAAAACTCTGTGACCTCAGGCAGCTGTGGGGCCAGCTGCAATTCAGATAAATGCAGCCCCTCACAATGTAAATCTTTAAATTTAAGAGGGTATCAACCTTTAAGAAACAAAGTTCATGTACCCATGTGTAATATACAAGCATTTTACCCCAACATGGTGAGTCATTATCAGGTTTAAAATCTGTTTCAGAATCAGAGTAATCAGACTGACACCGTCATCCAGCCATGTCCCAGCAGCTTTATGAGGGAAATGGAGTCTAAATTGTGTACTTAAAAAAAAAAATGCCCTGTGCCAAATTCTCAATTACCTTCCCTTATTTAATATCTGGGAGTTGGGGGGGGTATGTAATTCTTTAATGCAGTTGCCTGAGAAACTGCATCTCACCATGAGAATGCAAGAAATATTAAGGGAAAACCAACTTAAGAGTTGGCTTCTCTCTAGGAGAAAGCTGAGCTTGGATAATCATGGTACAGACAGAGGAGCCGGCTGAGCCCTGACTATATCCAGATTAGAGACTACTCAGGGCCATGAGTTTCACCTTTCCAGGGCTACGCCCCCTTTAACTATGGTTTTGGAGAAGGCAAAAGAGAGACTACCTAACGTATTCACTATTGCATTTGGTTAACTCCCCCTCACAGGAAGTAAAACTCATTTCCCTACATAAAACAAACACTGATCTTCTCCAAGGAACTCCCTTTGCCTAGTGCCTTAACTGCTGAGCTCTGCGGAACTTTAATTATGTAAGTTATGCACCCTCTGCCCCAAGACCATGTACTTAACACTAACTGTTCCCAAGCATCTTCTATGTGCTCCTCTTCCACAGGCATAGCCTTACATTTGAAAAAACTGGGTCTCTAAGTTCAAACATACTGACTTTTACTTAAAAGAAGCTTCTTTCCGGGTCTATCTGGTGGTAACCTAAGCACAGAACTGATGCTTTAACATGTGGTTTGGCTGAAGGGCCTGTGTTAAGGTGGTTCGTGAGTCATCTAAGGAGGAGAGAGTGCAGACTACAGACTGTCTGCCAAGGTCCGTCCACTGGTGGGAGCAGGAGAGGGGAGGAAAAGGGAAAAATCAACAATCAGTTTAAATTTGAAATAATAATACCTTATATTTGTATAGCTGTTTAGAATTCACCAAGTTTGTAGTTTTAAAAAACATTTTCAAATCTTGACGATGAGTGATTAAGTTAAAAATCTGCAGGTAACTAGGATAATTAAAAAACAAACAAACAAAACACTCAGCAACACAAACCATTTAAAGGAGGCAATCTATGTGTGCATCTTTCCTCATTCCTCCCGGCTGGAACAGCATGGCTACTGTCCTATAGTAGCTCGAAGTACAATCCCAAGTGAAAATTTGCCTGTAGTTTAATGTTAGCTTGAACTGGGCCAAAACAAACACCTAAAAGAAAACCAAGTTGTTGGGCTGTTGAGTGGGAATCCTCAGGCTGTAGATTACATTCAATTTAAAGGTTTCACTAAGAGGATATGTAAATGTGACTAGGCAAAGAGGTTTCCAGAATCCTTAACCACCTCTCAATCTTTATGCAGCCACTGAGGACATGAGGACACACAGTTACAGAAATTCCATGCTCTGCATCGCCCCAAAATATTTTCTCTGTTGTGCTTCTTCACTCTCTGCCTGGAGACACCAAAAAAGAAAGGGAAATGGGCTTTCCACTGGGTCCAAGAAACACCTACTGATTTGCACCCAAAGTGAGGACTCTCAAAATGAAACAGACAACCGTGGAGGAAAGTAGACATAAAACAAGAGCCACTGAAGTCTGTCTGCAGACTGACGGGGAGACACCAACTAAACAGAAATAACCACAATTTTTGAGAGACCACCTCACAGGGAGCACCACACTGGGCCCAGATGGGAAACAATGACAGCGTGGGTCTCGGATCAGGCCAGGAACTCATGTAAGTGCTCACATGGTATTTTTAAGAAAGCAAACAGTATTGGGTTTGTTGTTTTTTTTCCCCCCTCCAGCTTCTGTCATAGTTTTAGTGTTCATGTAGCTTAAAAATGGCATCATACAAAAAACCTTATACATGGCTGTAAGCTCAATCATCAACAGAGGTAGTAAACAAAGGAACTCCTAAGAATAGATTTTAAAATGGATCAAAGTGTGAATGTACATTCAAAACCCTAGAGCCACGTAAGCATCCCCAAAATGAACTGTTTTAATTTAAAAAAGCTTAAAAACACAATGACAGTGAAGCACTGAGGTGCCTTAGGCACAGTCCCAAATCAGTGCTGACTTAAAGCTATGTCCTCTCTTTCCAGGAAAGAGTTCAATCTACAATGGGAAGGAACAGAACAAAAAGAACACAACCATAAGGGTGCTTTCCGGCCGCCAAGGTTCTTCTTCGTTTTCAGGCCACACCACTGGAAATGTTCGTTCTTCTGACACGAGTCTTTTCTTCACAACCCTTCTTCTTTTTAAAACTGCAATCTGCTGACCAAGAGATGCCCACATTCCCACTGGCAGGGGAGCCCCTTCCATGCAGTTTTTGCTTCCTCGGTGTGGGTCCTCCTTCCCTGAAAGTGCAAAGAGAGCAGGCCGAGCCCTGCAGCGCCCAGAGCCCCAGGGCTGACTCAGCGCAGCTTGGAGAGCAGCGAGAAGGATTTGCTGCACTTGTGCTGCGAAGACACAGCTCACTTTGGTTGTCCTTCTCAGTTGGCAAACTGCTCATAGAATGCAAACTTGATCCTCTCTATGTGGTGGCAGAGTTTGATGGCGGGGCCCAATTTTAAATCCATGCACTCTTGAACAGTGGGAAGGGTAAGAAGCAACAGGGCCTGTCCGTCAATTTCCTGTTAAAGCACAAAATACGCATTATCTATGATGTGCATGTGGATGGCAGCTCAGGAAAGACAGCCCCTGTTTCCTTTCGCTTGTGTCAAAATCTGAGTCTCTGTGCTTTCCTTTCCTTACTTTCCCCCTTTTCCCAAGTATCACACAGTTTCTTCCAAGTGCCCCCCACAGTCCTCCATGCTCATCAATCTTCAAAATTAAGGATAAACTTTTACCCAGTATAAGAATCCATTCTACAGGGGCGCCTGTGTGGCTCAGTGGGTTAAGCCTCTGCCTTTGGCTCGGGTCATGATCTCAGGGTCCTAGGATCGAGTCCTGCATTGGGTTCTCTGCTCAGCAGGGAGCCTGCTTCCCCACCTCCTCTCTCTCTGCCTGCCTCTCTGCCTACTTGTGCCCTCTCTCTCTGTCAAATAAATAAAATCTTAAAAAAAAAAAGAAAAAAAAAGGAATCCATTCTACAGTTTCTGCTCTGCAGAAATTCAGTGAATGAACTAGCTTTTTAACTGGCTACTGAATGTACCAAAAGAAACATCTTTTTAGAGGATGCTTTCTAAATCTGAAAAAAAATATTAACTATAAACGTCAATGTTTTCCTACTCTGTAACATTCATAAAAGCCGGATGAGCTCTTCAAAGATGTTCAGTTTAGAATCTCCCCAGTTATCGAAAAAAAAAAAAATATATAGTATTTGTTTAAGGTCACAGACTATTTGTTTCAGAAAACTTGCCTTAAGACCGATCTCCAGTGTAGAGCCTCACATATTACAGTTGTTAATTATTCTTAAAAACAAGCAAATCATTACTTTAGAAAACAAGAGCACCGTTAAGAACTGCATACTTGATTTTAAGCCATTCAAATACTTGAGGGATGGAAACAAAGTCTTGGGAAAAACGGCAACACGGTGATCATCCGGTTCAAATGTGGGGGAAGTCAGAACCATGACCTCTTAACAACCCTCCTTCTAGACTCCTAAAAGGGTAACTACATTTCTTTTGTATGAGAGAAACATATTTCCTCAGACTTGTAAACAAATCGCTACTACACCCACAGTCCTTCGCTAAGGAAACAGGTCTCTGTAATTACCTGGTCTAGAAATATCCTCGCCAGCGGAGCACAGTCGGTGGATCTGATGAACCGGACCACGTCCGCCACGCTCCACTTGAGGGGGTTACTGTCCAGATGGAGCCTCTCGGCAACTTCAATCCTTATTTCCTTCATTGCCCGCAACAAAGCAAACCAAATGGTGTCAGAGCTACTTTATTCTAAAAAAGTCTCTCTCTATAAATTCAAAACCCTTGGAGACAGGATTGGAGGGTTAGGTTTTAGGGCATGATTCCTCCCAGCAAAGACGGCCAAGGTCCACACACACGAGGTACCCAGGAAATGTGGATCTTTTATAATAAGAAACATCAGTGGGGAAGAATTTATCTCAAAGTTCCAGCACAAATAATTTGGACAATTTAACAGAGAAAAATGGCTTTTCAGTCTCCCATTTGTTCCCTGGTCTCTTTCGACTCGCTCTCTGTAGGGTGCTGCAGTGAGCAGGATGCTACTCCGAAAGAAAGAAGGCGTAACTAAATCTTCAGGAGAAACCATTTGCTGCTTTAGTTCAGGCGATATATTTAAAACGCAACCCAGTTTTGAAACAGTGACTTAACTGCCACTCTTGTAGTGTGTGCGTTATGTAACACACATATATGTACATATTATACAGCAAGCAAAACAGCTTCAGCCAAATCAAAAGGATAAATAACTTATCTCTATAGAACCATCTATCAAAAGTATCAAACAAGCAGTTTTCCCTAAACTAATGACAGGCTACAGCTAAGGGGGGAGAAAAAAAAAAAAAGGAAAGTTTCATTGCAAGTTTAACCTAAAGTAAGCAGCTACTCAGAAAGACCTTCTTTCTGGTAGGTAGTTGATCTCCAAATAATCCTTGCAACGCAAGTAAATCCCTGAATTTGGAATTCTTTTAAGAGAGACCCAGGAAATTCAACTGAAGCCTGTATTGAAATAAATGGAATGCCCACATCATTAACAACCCGCCCTCAGAAGGGAATTCTAGAGAGAGGAATAAAAGGCACTGTATTTTAAAAATGGGTACCTTTGGTGAAGGAGGTTTATTCTCATCATCAGAAAATGAAAAAGTGCGAAGCTCTCTTTTTCTCCGTTGTCTGTCGGGAGGCAGTGATGTAGAGATCTCACTCTGGGTGGGTGAGGAAGAGCACGACTTTTTTTCTGACATTTCTGACTCTTCTTGTAGCTCGTCCTGCTGCTCCGACGTACTGCCCTCACTCAGGGAATCGTCGTCCCCTTCATCTGGGTCATCCTCATCTTCACCGCCACTTCCCTAGAGGAAACGAAGAGAAAAGTCTCATGGAAATTCACAACAAACCAGCTCCTGGCCACAGACCACTTTCTGCTGGGGCAGGGATCTGACGCGGGCCCACAGGTGGCCTTTCTGCATCTGTGCTGTACGGCCGCGATCTCCTGGCTGCTCGGCCGGACAGGCACACCACAGATCTTGTACCTGGGGCGAGCCCGCCGGGGTGTTATCAACAGATGCCGAGGAGCGTTTCTTCTTATGGACAAAGACATTTTTCCGCCTCTTCCTCCGCTTACTGGCTTTTTTCAGGGCACATGCTAAGTTGCTATGCCCACCAGGTGGCCTCCCGATTCTTTTATTTTTCTTCTTTCCATAATAGTGTGCTAAATGTGAAGGACAGAGAAAAATGAAGTAGAGTCACAATTTCTGTACACTTCATAAAACAAGAGATTTGACCAGCACAGCAGAGAACAGGTACATTGTATGTGATGAAGGTTTAAATTCCGAATCATGGAACAATCTTAACTGTCCAGATCTTAAATGGACAGTACCATTAGTACTGACAAATGCACAAACCTGAATAACCGTCCCTCTGTCAAGAGGTAGAACATCTCCATCAACCTAGAAAGTTCCCAGGGTCCCTTCCCAGTCAGTCCACCTCACCAGAAGCAACCACAATTGTATTCCAACTTCCATCAGTACTGATCAATTCTGCCTCACCTATGGAACATTTGGTAGATGCTTTTTTTTTTTTTTTTTTTTTTTTTAAGATTTTATTTGACAGAGAGAGACACAGTGAGAAAGGGAACACAAGCAGG